TCTTAGCTACCATGGAAAAACCAAAAACCAGCCTAACTGAATTGACTTCATATGCAAATTTATTGTTAAACTACACGACTTCTGCAGGAAAAAGAATAAAAGGCATTTAGAAATACATTGTTGTTTGTTAGCCCCCAAAAAATTACCCAGATGCTTGTTCTCCATTACCATCAAAAAATTTGAAAGCCTGTATTACTGCATCTCTCTTGAATCCAAGCTCAATAAGTTTTGCTACTTTGGCTTCAAAATCAGGGCTCTGTGTTGGAGTATCACTATGTGTGGTTCCAGAAGACTGGCCTTTTTTTTGAAGAGTAAAATGAATTTCTTTTTTTTTATGAATGAGTAAGATTTTATTAAACCAGCAAATAAGAGTTACAGGCAACCCATGGAAAGGCATGAGGTGCAACCTTTCCTTTAAAACTAGTTACAGAATTATAAGTTCAAAAGAAATTACACAAAAGCCCAAAATAAAGTAGCCCGATAAACCCCCTGTTTTGCAAGTGAACCAGCCATTGAGTTTGCTGATCTGCCTACCCACTGAACTCTGATTGCCATATCCATTTAACCTTTTTGAGAAGACCTCTATAGCCCCAGATCACGAGTCCGGATCCTGCAACCAACCCACTATCACCTGGGAGTCCTCTTCAATAATCAGATGCTCTATTCCTAGCTGGTTTGTGAGCTGAATTCCTTGCACAGCAGCAAGTGTGCAAGGAATTCGGCCCTTATAGAGTCTCCCACACCTGCAGGACCTGAATACAAAGATATAATACTACTGTCTCTGTTTCTCAGCACTCCTCCTATACCTGAAGGTCCTGGGTTATCTTGGCTACTCCCATCAAAGTTCAGCTTAATAAACTCCTCCCCAGGTGGCATCCATTCAACCACATATCTGTCATTCCTAGTAGAAGTGTTAGCCACTGCTAACCAGTTTCTCCACAGGTCATCGAAAGAGTACGCATCGAAGAGATTTAGAGTTTTCAGCCACTGATGCCCTTGTCAAAATACATTCTTTAACTTCCGAGAAACTCCTTTCTTTTTCACAAAAAAATTCTGGTGTTCCTTTCTTCCCAAACAGTCCACAACAAAGTTGCTCTTATGCACTTCCACATAATTCTCCCTCTCTTTGTATGCCATACAAAGGTAGACGGACTAAACAGCAAGCTAGTATCAGATGGCAGGTTCCACCTACACTCAAACAACATAAAAATCCAATTCCAAAAAGCTGCAGCAAAGGGGCAAGAGATCAGTAAGTGGTGACAGTCCTCATTCTGAGTTTTACAAGGAACACACCAATTTGGGGATAAGCACCATTTTGGTCTCTTCTTTTGCAGGTTTTCCAAGGTATTAATCTTACCATAAAAAAAACTTCCTGTAGAGAACACTGATGTGGACCCCACTGCTGTGGTCCCCACTGTGTTAGTATGGCAGCTTATTTTTTGTTAGTTATGTCAGTGTTAGTTGGTAGTTATTTCAGTTTGTTATTATAGCTTGTTATTTCAGCTTTCTTATTAGTTTATTTGCCATGTAAGCAATAAGGGCAATTCAGCCCTTTTACAATTAGTCTACATATATAAATATTAAGAGTGGGTTGGCAGATCAACTGATCAACCCTCTCTCTCTTTTTAAAATCTCTTCGTGTGCTTCTTCTTTTCTCCCTCTCTTCTTCTCTTCTGAAATTTCTTCTTTCTTTTCTTTTGAATTCAAGACTGGTTGTAGTCTTGATCGACTACTCTTCCCAAAAAACACAGCAATCTTTGGGGGAATGGGTCTAACCCAGAATTCGTAAAATGAAAATTTATTAAATAAGAAGAAAGATATAGTCCAGTAGGTGGCAAGATGGCACCTAGCTTGCAAAACAAAACACTGATATAAAAAACACAGTCTAAAACAAATTACAATAATTGAATTTCAAGCACATTCCAGAGATCCTCCCCCAAGTCTGGTCTGCTGACTTGATCGAAATCTGGTAGCACTCAGACTCAATCTGCTACTAGTTTCCCCATCAGAGCCACCATAGTTTCAGTATTTTATATTTATCTTAAAAAATCCTTTTCTTTCTTTCATTCCACATGGTCCAGCACACAGCAAAGGGAATGCAGCTCCATGTTATCCTTGCTTTCCTACTTCCCCCAAATCCTGGCCAAGCGGAGAAAATTTCTGCTGTTGAACTTGGCTGAAATACTCTTTGCCCGAATAAAGAGGAATAGAATTTCCAAATGATGTTTGCCATCTTACAAGAAAAGAATAAGTGTAAGACAGTCTCTTCATCCGAGCAGCACATAACACAGATGTTTGCTGAACAGAATCCTCTACTTTTCAAGTGGTTTACTGGTAGAATACTATCCAAGGCAACCAACCAAGCAAAAGCTTCCACTCTTGGTGGAATGGGATTCTCCCAGACCCCTCCCATATAATCTGAGGCCAGCTGACCCTTTACCAGAGCCAAGTAGAAGGATTTCACAGTGAACACCCCGTTCTTACACTCTTTCCACCACAGCCCATCCCTCGAGGAGGGTGACACCTTAACTTTCTGTAATTTTTCCAGCAGCTGAATGCATTCATGTATCTCTTGATCCAGCCGGGGTCTACTGGATTTGGGGCCAAACAATCTAATCTCCACCCAATTGAAAGCATTAATCAACTTTAATATGATGATTGGTCAAGGGTCAACCTGTATAGTTTCAGGCACACTTCACACAGCTTCCCTACTTCACACCACTCGTCCTTCCAAAATCTAATCCTTGACCCATCACCCACCTTGAAGCTAACTAAAGCTTTGAACTCTTGATTGAACAGCATTATCCCTTTCCAGACACTCACCCCATAAGAGTTAGAAACCTCTCTTGACTCCCACCCGAACCTCACCAGCCTGTACTTCCCAACTACAACCCTCCTCCAAAGAGTCTCCCTCTCCCTTTCCAGCCTAAATCTCCACAACGACTTGTCCAACAGGGCCTTATTGAAAATTTTGATCCTTCGAATACCCAACCCACCTTTTTTCGGCTTACATACCCTGTCCCACTTCACCAAATGGAACTTTTTAGCTCCCCCTACCCCTTCCCACAAAAAAATCCCTCTGAAGCTTCTCAATTTTTTCCACCACCTTTGCTGGAATTTTCGGCTTACATACCCTGTCCCACTTCACCAAATGGAATCTTCGATATAGATAGTATTCTATCAGTAGGCTAGATAGAATACTCCTAACCAGTGTAATTCTGCCCCCCAAAGAAAGATATTTTGCTTTCCAACTCTCCAGCCTCTTCTTCACTCTTTCTATTACTGGCCTCCATATTCCTGCTGCAGCAGCTTTAGACCCTACTTGAAGAGCCAAATAAGGCTAAGGTAGCTCCCCTCCTTCCTCCTTACATCCCCCACCCCAATTATCTGCTCTTAGCTAGGTTAACTTTCAGACCTGTAAGCATCTCAAAGTTAGCCAATATAACCCTGAGATTCAGCACCTAAAGCAAGCACAAAAATACAAAAAAGAAAAAAAGCTAAAATATCAAAAAAAAAGTCAGAAAATTAAAAAAAATGCCAAAAAAATCAAAAAAATATTAAACATAACATTAATAAAAATATAAACTTAAATTTTAAAATAAATGTTTTAAAAAACCTATTATCTAAAATTTAAATACATAAACATAACATGTAAAGTGTATTCAAATGAAAATTTAAAAATAAAATCAAACATATAAAACATTTTCAAGCATGTAAAACCCACAATCTCTTTTTCTCCTCAATTGCATTACTTCAAGTAGCTAGTGATGTAAAACATATTACATTCCTGATTCTACCAGCCGCTTTTGTGCCACACCCCTCGAGGCAAGCCCAAACAAGTCCATGTTAACACTAGGCGAGGCATGTACCCTAAAATGCGCCTTGCTGTGCCCCTAGGCACGCCTTTTAAATCATTAGTACTTCCATGACCAATACAAACAACAACAGGGAAACTGGATTCCCTTGTCCAAGTCTTCTATAAGCATGAAAAAACTCCTAAGAAACTCCATTGAGAAGTAAAGGGAAAGGACAGACGAGACACATGCATACATCCAACTTCTCCACTTCTCCCCAAACCCCATTACTCTGCATTTTTTCCAAGAAAACCCACTCTACATGATCATAGGCTTTCTCAATGTCAATTTTGAACACCAGACCCAGGCTTCCACTACTTAGTCTAGAGTCAATACATTCACTGACCACCAATACCCCATCCAATATTTGCCTACTTTCCACAAATGCCATTTGGGGTTCTCCCATCACCTCATGAACAACTCTCCTTAATCTCCTAGATAGCACCTTAGATAGTAATTTGTAAGGGCTACTGATCAGGCTTATTGGTCTGAAATCTTTTATATTCAATACTCCATTTTTCTTTTGAATCAAAGTAATGAAAGTTGCGTTAACTCTTTTGTCGAGATTTTTTAAAGTACAAAACTCCTGGATCATCTGAAAGAAATCTCCCTCCAAGAAGATCCAACCAGCCTTAATAAAATTGAAGTTGAACCCATCCAGCCCTGGGGCTTTGTCCCCATTTATCTTTTTTAGTGCTTTGATTTCTTCAATCTCGACCTCTCTTTGAATCCCTTGTAGAAATCTGACACCTTCCTTTGAATCCCTTCCCAAGTTAGTGGGCAACTTATCATTTTTCTCCTTTGTTCCTGATGTTTCTGGAATTGATCCTGATGTTTCAGGATAAACATATTGTTCAAATGAAATCCAAGACCAATGGATTCATCATCAGATAGTTCATTTTGGGCAAGGGTAAAGTTGGGAATGGTTTTTTAAAACTAAAATTTTAGGGTTTTTGGTCCCTAGTGCTTAAATTAAAAAAAAAAGGATAATTTGATGGGCTGGAGAATTATGCCACATCATTTTTTTGATAGTTTAGTTACTGAAATAAATGCCTTGTCCGGGTAAGAATCCCTCTTGATGAATGTTCTGTTCCTTATTTTCCCCCCTTTATTTAAGTAGCTGAGTTATGTGTACTGGTGATACAGGTACATTGCTAAGATGATATATGGAGATGATGAAGAGGAGGTTACTCCTCAGAAGCAAGACATGTTTGCTGAGCCAAAATTGCTTGGTCTTAACCCTGGTTCTAATGAAAAGGTCTATGTCTCATCTTGGTTTTGACAGTAGTTATTCTTTGAGAATAACGACAGTTTTGTTGATGTTGTTACCACTGTGGGTCATCTGATGTAACAAATCCATTTTCTCAGGTTCTTTTGAAGAATGGTCCTTATGGGTTCTATGTTCAGCTTGGCGAAGATAGGAAAGGTTATGTACCAAAACGAGCCTCTGTTTCCCAGGTATATACCAACTTTCTTTATGCCCAATACAATTTCCTTCTGTTTTAAATTGAATATAACAGGTGACACAAACATCAATGTGACTAGCTGCAACTCTTTAGTTCACATTTCGTCTGTTAAAAGTTTCATATTTCCATGTCAACATCTAATAAACAATTACAACCATTTTATAGGATGAAATGCATTTAAGAAAGAATAGTAATTTTTACAATTATTACCTATGGAATCTGAAACAAAAATATATTTCAGATAAAGGATGTAGAATCCATCACCTTAGAACATGCTCTTGAGCTGCTGCGCTATCCTGTATTATTGGTAAGTTTTGCTCCTAATTCATTAGTTAATGAAGTTATATCCAATTCATGGGTAGTTTGATTAAGTTCAAAATTTTCCTCTATTTTAATTCCTGTAGGGGAACCATCCAGATGATGACCAACCAGTGTATTTAAGACTTGCAAGATTTGGGTTTTCAATTAAACATCGACGAACAATTGCGCCGGTGCCTAAGGTAATATCCTTCTATTGTCATTTCTTTTTTCTGTTCTTTTTTTATTTTTTTTGGAGAAAAGGCCGTGCATTATATTATACTGAACAGAACTTGTACAAAGGCCTGTTCAATAAGATACTGCATGGGGGCTACTACACAATTAATTCCATATGCTAATTCTTCTCTCTTTCTTTAGTAGGTGCTTATCACAATTCACAAGTATTTTGTAGAACTGACTAATTTAATTAGTATTATGTCATCAACTAGGGCTATGCGGCATTCCTTCATATGTGGCAATTACTGAATTAATCATCATGCTGATGAGCATGAAACACCTTGCTGACTTGCATGCTTTCACCATGTTGAGCTTGTGGAGGCGTGTGGTTATAACAGTAGCTACTTTCTGAGTCATAAAGTTGACTCATGAGTCATGACTTCATTCCCATCTCGTTGATTTGAGTATGAGCTAGAATATATGTTAAAAGGATATATCATCATGAGTTTATATTGCCTTGACCTTCTGCATCAATTTCCATGCTTGACAATCAGACTGAGACATGCCACTCGGTTGATGTTGATGTCCCATGAATCTGGGGTTGAAAATTGGAACTAATTTTCATCTATATTTCCTCCTTTCTTGCTTAATTGTGCATACAACTCCAAGTCCAAGATAATGGACTCTAAAACCTGAGAAACGTTCCGAATGATTTTGATATTTCCAATTTTTCTTATGATGTCCTCTTCACAATCCAATCTTTATCATCATCCATTCCTGTTTCTTATCAAATTACAATCTGAATTCACGGTGCAGCTGAATTGCTACAGACATTGTCAGGGCTAAATGCACTTAATGTCTACTTTATGATTGTTGCTCATGCTATTATTACTTCTCTCTTTAAGAGCTGATTTTTCTTGTGTTTGGTTATTTTAAATTGTGGTTGCAGAATACAAATCCAAAGGACATCACTCTGGAAAAAGCATTGAAGTTTTTATTAAGTAAAGACGCAAAACGCTGTGGCCGGCCCAAGAGTAAGCCAAAGGTCGAAGAAGCCGTGGAAGCTATTTAGAGTTGATAAGCAATGGTGGGTACGTAGTTTGTTTGGATGATATGCATTTTATTAAGCCCACATTGCTTGACGGAGGTTCATGCATTTTTTATACCATTGAATCATGCGTTGAGCATAGGCAATCTCTCAAGTTGGCAATCGGATATTTTTTCATCAATGGAAGGGTGAGATGTATATAGTATCATTGATTTTGTTGTAAATCCAAGCCAATTTTGTATACAACTTTGCGCCCGTTTTAGTATCATGTTACTTTTGCAAGGAAATAGAATGCTGGGCATGTTAAACCAATTGTATGATTGTACTTTACTTTTAATGACATAACTTAGGATCAGGAAGAAAAGATGTGATAGCTCATTCTGAAAAGTTTATGTATAATTTGATTTCAATAATGAAATAGATATGGTAAATTTGAGTTACATGACAATTGATCATTTGTCATAGAAACTGGTGTGGATTTTATTTTTCATTCAAAAATTAAATCACAAATTTATTTTCAAGAGAACTGCCATGGATACAAATTGTTTTTCTCTTGTCCCTTACAAATGGATATGGTATTGTATAGAGTGCTGTGGAATAGTGGAAGTGTGGAACACTATATATTGTTGGAGTGAGGACTTGTTCAGAGTTGTACCCCTTACAATTGTATCTGAATCAATTTGTCGTTTCAGTCTTTCAGATGTAGTTCCGTCAGCCCATCAGTCCCATGTAACAACATTCTGGATGTGCCATCATATAATACATTTGATAGGGGCACATGGTACTGAAGGATTGGTCTATTTTTCAAATGCCAAAATAATTTTTGGTTGTGAACTAACTTAATTTGATGTAATATATATTAATAATTTAATTGGTTTAATCATTTAAGTAGTTTTGCGGATATACATAGAATTCCAATTTGATTTGAATATTGGATTTATATTGATATGCGATGGAATTTGGATTGAAAATTAAACAATATTAATAGATTAAACTAAAAATGGTCAAAATATTATATATCGTTAATAAAATGAATTACAAATGACTTTGATATTGTTCTAGTAGGGAGTTAAGATTGTTTAGCCCCCTTGCTTTATAATTTTCTTAATCTTAATTAATACATTTCACAGTTATTGATAAAAAAAATGATTTTGATATTGTCTATTTTGAATGATATGAATTGAAAATAACTTGTATGAAACTAGGTTTGCAAATGTATCAGATTTAACCCATTACAAATAAAAATCTGATTCTTTTAAGTTAGATTTGGATATCCGTTAGTCATAATTGGATCCAAATAGGTCTGAAAACATGGTTGATATTTTTTAGTTGGAATAAATTTGGATATTGCTTTGTCCTATTAATTTGAGTATTAAAATTCTCTAGAATAATGGTGTATGCGGGAACTGCAAAAACATACTACATTGAACCAATCACGAACCACTGTTGACCCGGATGCTCAGACCATTTGGCCTGAGAATTGTCCAAGCAACCAGTTTCGTTTTATCCCAAATCTGGTCTTTTGTCAAAAACTGTTGAAAAAGTTAATGAACTGTTGACCTGGGTGGTCGAACCATCAGTTCATTCAACGGTTTTTTGTCGTTTTTTATTTTTAATTATTATTTTTTAAATTTTTTGTCATAACGTGCCATCCGTCCGAATTGGACGATTGGACCGTCAACCCGAAAACTAGTGGCCAGAACTGTTCTGTTTTTGGGTCATTTTTTAAAACCATGAAACCAAATTTATAATTAATATAATAATATAAACAAACAGGGAATGAATCCATAAATCCCAAGGATGCCAACAGGTCGAGTTTGGCCACTAATCATCCTGAACCTTGAATCAACCCAACTAAATGAAAATGGGACATTGAATCTGATGTAATCCACTCCACCAATAATATACCTATACTCGACCAGGACTATATGTACAAATGTTTCAATGATATAATGTCAGTTGGTGTTGCCTGGGTTATCCCAAATCATGACTAGAACTAAGGGTGTTAACAAAATTCGAAAAATTTGATTTCGAATTTGAGATTTGACATAATTGAATCGAATCAAATTTGAATATTTTAAATATTTAATTGATCAAATTCGAATATTACCTGATTTAATTCGATAAATATTCAAATTTGACCAATTATTTAGGTTGCGTTTGGAAAAGGTGTAAATCCCGATTTGGTGTAATTTTACACCGTAGTCTACTTTTGTATGTGTTGGTTGGGATGTAAAAGAACACCGAAGACCGGTGTAAAACTTTATTTTGAAAGATGTTTACATCGATAATCGATGCATAAAATACATCGTTTTTTTCGATGTAAAACTCGATCGAACTGCCCATCGATGTAAAAAGCAACGACTCTCTTCCTCCTCCACCATCAAGTTTCCTATTTCCGTCGTCGTTTTCCGACTCCATGCAACCCTCTTCTCTCTTCCACTCCCTCTCTCTCTCTCTCTTCTCTCTTCCACTCCACGCCTGCCCAAAAGACCAGAGCCTCTCAAAAGAAAAAAAGAGGGAAAGCAAAGCCATCGCCACCTCCACCTCTTCTTTTTCTCCTCTTCACGGATCCATTTCGAATTGAAACTTGAAACTTTTCCCTCTCGAAAAACGAAAAAGAAAACAGAATTGACGACAGTAATAATAACATATTAGAGAGAGAGAGAGTATCAAATCGGTTTGGATTGGATTTCTGATGCTAAAAGAGAAGTCCATTAAGCTTTTCTCCTTTAGATAAAACCCATAAATCTTTCTTATTTTATTTGTCTTTCTTCATCTTCTCTTCGCTATTGTTGTCAAGAAAATAGAGAGCTCAAACCAATAGGAAGAAAAACACCTAAAAATGGATTCAAGGGGTACCAGAATAGAGAATGTTAAAAGAATTTTCCAGCAATTCGATATGAATAAAGATGGAGGTCCCAATAGGCAAGAAATGGTGTATCGATCTCGTCGTCGCCGAAAATCCTAGGGTTAAATGAGAAAATCAATGCAATCCTTGACGAGGTCTTCAGCCTACAAGGACTTCATTGACGGCAAAAATGGTCTCTCCTAAAGGTCTTCTCTGCACCTACGACGATGGTGCTGGTGATGTTGATCGCGACTTTGATGCCCTAGATTTGGACTTAAATAACGGCATTGGTAAAGCTCCCCCAAGCTTCCAAGGCTTCTTCCCCAATAACCGCTTCCAAGCTCCCCTCAAGCTTCCCCAAGCTTCCAAGGCTTCTAAAAAGAAGCATGAAAATATCTAAAATGCCCATACAGTTACTTAATGACCAAAATGTTTATTTTTCAAACTTTTTTTTATATGTATTGTTAGTCCAAACCTTCTAATCTTTTTTTTTTCTGAAATTGATTTATTTTTTAAATTTATCCTTCATATTAATCATTCAAAAGTAAACTGTAACTTTAAATTATTTTTTTTATTGTTTATAAAATTTATATTGTTTTTTTCTCGTAGAAACCAACACTAATAATAACTGTATGGATATTTTGGACATTTTGTACCTTTTATTAGAGAATTTTAATTTCTAACTAAAGAAGATCCACTTGCAACTGTGCTAAAAAATTAAGAGAAATAATTTTATTTTTGGGGTTCAGTCCACCCTGGGTGGAGATAGGATTTCTACAGGGCTACAAGTAGACTAGGAGGGGCTAAAATTCAAATTTTTTAGATGGATTGCAGTCCATTTATTTTTTTATTTTTTTGGTAGAAGAAATAACCTGCTTTCACTGTTTCACACACTGGCACACTACACACATCACACTTGTCAGCCAAGTTTTCAACTTCGCCCATACCCATTTTTTCCAAGGACCAGAACCGGGTCGATCGACTTGGCAAGAACCCTAGTCGCTTGTCAGCCCTAATTTGGGGAGTGCGCGGTTTTAGGAGAAAGCATTTTCCTTCAAGAACTAGCCCGGTTGGTTGGTCGGCACGTCGAGGTTTGAATATAACTCGGCGAGTTCATAACAGTGTAAGCTCTTTTTTGGACACTTACTAGTGAATAGTGATAGAAACCAGACAGTAGAAACTGGAAAGAGGGAAGAAAAAAAGTGAGATGGATTAAGGTTTAAGAAGGGTTTATGGCGGCAGCCGGCAGCCACTCTCTCTGTCCATCTCCGATGTAATGAATTGGAGTCTCGTAAGGTTTAACTTGAAGTCACTTGCTCCAATCTATATATCATCTTCATTTTTCTCATTCTTGAGCTCTACTCATTTTCTTCGGAAAATTGTAAAATTTGATGTCAAGTAATGCAACTTTGATTTCCTCTACGAATCTAAGCAACAAGTTCGTTTACTTGATTCAAGTCGATAAGGCCACATTTTGCCCCCCAAACTCATCAAGGATAAGCACAGCGATGTGGAGACATATAGCAAGACGAGCTTCTTTAACGAAGGTTAGGCTTTCCCGCGACTCCTCTTCTATCTTACGCACTTTTGGTTTTATGGGTTTCTCTCAAGACTCGATATTGAACGATACAACCAGACCATTTGAGCTCAAAAGCAGCATGAGTTTTCGGTTTTCTGAAAGGAGTTTTCTCCGAAATGGGGAGTTACCATCCAAAGAAGATGAATTGGGAAGGCCCATTTTGGGGTGTTTTAGGAACCCAATCAGTCCTCCCAGGTTATCGAATCATCCGAAGGGTTATGCCAGTGTTGCCGAGGCTGTATGCTCAATGGATGCGGAGGAGGATTTGTCTGCCATCGACGAAATTCAGGAATTATTGGAGGAGATGGGCAAAGAAGAGAAGAAAGAACTTGAACTCAGGGATCAGAAGCAGATAAAATTGGTTGGAGGAATGGGACAAGGGAAGTACCTATTGCTTCGGAGGAGGCAAGTGAAGATTGAGACAGAGGCATGGGAGCAGGCTGCCAAGGAGTACAGGGAGCTTCTCATGGACATGTGTGAGCAGAAGCTAGCGCCCAATTTGCCTTACATGAAGTCTTTATTCCTTGGTTGGTTTGAGCCCTTACGTGATTGCATTGTAGCAGAGCAGGAATTATGTAGGAAGGGAAAGAACAGAACTGCTTATGCTCCATATTTTGATCAGTTGCCGGCAGAAATGATGTCGGTTATTACAATGCATAAATTGATGGGGTTGCTGATGACCGGAGGTGAACATGGCAGTTGCAGGGTGGTCCAAGCTGCTTGCCAGATCGGTGAAGCTATTGAGAATGAGGTCAGTGGTCTTTGTTTTGAAGCGAGTACTTGGTTTGTTATTACTTAAAAGTAATAGGAACCTTTTTTATGTAGAACTGATTTCTAGAGTGAATCTAGTTTGAACCTATTTACTTGCATCCCGGTATTAAATATCTCTTTCATGATGATTTAAGTTGCAAAATGTTCTATACGAAAAGAATATAAGACGACCCACAACATTTTGTTCTTTAAATCTGTCATTTCTATAAATTGTACTTGCAATCATGTTACTGGTTTGCTGGATAAATGTCAAATTCGACAGAGGGTGCAGTAACCATTTTTTTCAGTAACAATTGAAATTTTATTGAAGTAACAAGTATATAGCAAAGTGCCAAGCACCCCTTATGGATAGCTAGCTTTGGTTAGCCATCATTCCATTTCAATAATTTCCACCTATTGAGACTAATTCCCAATACATCTGATTTCTGTTGGCCCCTTATTTTGCAAGCCCATCAGTTAAATTATTAGCTGATCTCAAATCCATCTGTAGACTTCTCTAGTTCTTGATTCTTATGCCAGCTTGTTGGTTTCCCTCATCATGTATCTGTATTTCCAAGGCCCTGCATAGTTCATTGTTATCCATCTGATAATTACTTGTGAATTTCTCTCAACGAATAAATCTCTGAAATTCTGTTTTACCATCCTTAGACTATGTAGTACTGGTGTAGCCATATTTGAGCCTAAAACAAAAAACCGAACCAGTCGGTTTGGTGTTTTTAAAAAACGAGGGTACCGGTTCGGTTTCGGTTAACCAATATAGAAAACCGGCGGTTAACCGAACCGACCGGTATACGTATATTTCTATATATCTTATATATATTTATGTATATTGTATATATTTTTTATATATTATAAATTAATAAATATGCATTATATATAAATTTATAAATTTATAATATATGATATATTATTTATTATTTAAAATATAATATTATATATATTTTTATAATATATTGTAAAAATTAAAAAACCAAAAAACCGACGAACTGAACCGACGGTTAACCAAACCGGTCGACCGGTTAACTGATAGGTTTCGGTTACCGGTTTTCCAAAACCGGTACTACCAGTTCGGTTACAAAATATACCCCACAGTTCGGTTAACTGAACCGTGAGCACCCCTAGTAGCCCATAGAGAAAAAAAAAACAAGGGTTGCTGGGTTCAAAGCTCAAAAGAGAATAAATAGGGTGCAGTAACCATTATGATCCCATTTGAATGCATAACATGCCTTTGCCTATCTAAAAACAGGTTCTTTTTTCTCTTTTGTTGTTTTTTAACTTTTTTGTGAACTAGCACAATGCATGCATATCAACAAATAAAAAAATATATTGGTTTATTATCTTGCAAAAGATATTGCCATGGTGCCTTGGAGGTTGCATTGATGTGAGGCTGTTTGCAAGTTTTGGCATTAAATAGTAAATATAACAAAAGAAAAAAGAACTTAAGAGAAAGAGAAGTACAATCACTGTCAGCTCTATAACACAAGGAAGTGTTTTGACCTCAGTGAAGCAAACTGATGTTGAAATTGAACCAAGAGTCTTCTTTTTAACTCTTGGATAGTTGGTTCTTTCTTGTTTCTTGTTGTTGTAAGGGGTTGATATTTTCTTGCGCATTTTTGTTTTAAGTGCAGGATCTTTTGTCTGGTGTGGTGGAGTTTCTTTCTCAGGGGAAGGGATGATTGTTTTTTCTCTGTTTCGGGTAGAGTGTTGAAAAAGTATATTTGTTTTTCTTTTTCTTATTCTCTTGGGTGATCACTGGTCACCTTCCTTTGTACTTTCTTTTTTATTTAATAAAACTTATTTTCTTTTATTATAAAAAAAATTTGAGCCATGAATTAAAATTGTATTTGATTTCTTTTTTTGAGTTGTTTTTGAATTTTATATATTTAACTCAATAAGTGAATGGGTTATAACTACATTTGTTTTTTTCTTGAATTTATTAATTACAAAGGCTTATGCATAGAGTTCAGTTTTTCTTATTTCCATGACAAGCATATCCTGAACCTTCTCCCAGATTTGCAATTTATGCTGATCCCCCTTCACATATAGTACAGTTTGAGGGGGTTTCCTGGAATCCTGAACATTGTAAGTGCATAATCAAGTAGCTGAGGGTTTACCTGATTCTGTATAGATTTTGCAGTAAAACCTCAATTTATGGATCAAACCTTTCCTATGTTTACCTTACCCAAGGATCCTGAAATTGCATTTCTTTACTCTTTCCCCATTTAAGAGAATTCCTGGAACATATTTCTATGGCTAAAACCATGTGCTTTTCCCTGTTTGAGGGATGCAGAGCTTGAGGGAGAGTATTAACTCCTTCACACCACATTGTAAATGATTTACCGAAGTAATTGAAAATGTTTGAGAATTGTTTTGCAGGAAACCTCATATGTAGAGTACCTTTTCTACATTTTCCTCTTTTCACCAACGTTTTCTGACTCAATCACTCAATGCCCCACTTAAAAGGAATACCTAAATAATATTTTTTTGATCAGCAAGAATACCTAAATAACATTTCCACATCATCCTTTAATTCTCTTTTTTATGCCATCTCTTTTGTGCTTTTCTTTCTTTCTTGTCCAATTTTGTAAAGATAGAAAATGTAGCACCAGAAATATCAGAAAAAGAAACACTGAAAAGAGGCAGTGAAGTCATTACTGATATAACTTCTTTAGTGTGACCAACCAGAAAAAGAACTTTGTTGACGTAAGTTACCTGTGGTTATTACTTATTAGCTATTTTATTTGATGTTGTTAACATTATTCAAGGAATGGATCCAAATAGGAAAAACTCTCACTGGCCCTTAGATTCCACAATATATTCTTTAGATTCCACAATATTATTCCATTTTACTTTCTGATTTAATAAAGTTTGTAATCATCTTTCTCATTATGTTCTTGATTCTCAGCATGTTAGACCTTCTTTATTTCCTCCTTTTATGAATTAGTAATTTGGATTTGGAGTCAAGGGTGTAGGATATTTAAAACTAGCACATCCTTATGGGGAAGTGGTATTTCTTCTTTATCCTTTACATTTTGAATAAAACCAGGTCCTCTGGAAAAATTTGGAGGTCCTGTTCATCAAGCAAATAAAAGAGTTGTTTCTGGGCTTTCTATCCACTAATTGAATATATTTTTGCTTCCAAGTGATCCTCCTCCCCACCTTTACCATCTTGAATTTCCACCATCATTGGTGAACATTCATTTTTAAATATTGTTGGGATGGATCAGGTTAGAATACACAAGTTTTTGGAAAAGACAAGGAAAAAGACTGATAAGGATAAGAAAGCTGATGGCGGTGAATCTGATCCTGTAATCAAAGAACAACAAAGATTAAGGAAAAAAGTTACTGATTTGATGAAAAAACAAAAGCTGCAGCAAGTCAGACAGATAGTGAAGGGCCAGGATGATTCAAAGCCATGGGGCCAGGATGCTCAGGCTAAGGTATGTGTTCTTTATGGCATTTACTGGGGGAATAAGTTCTGGTTTCTTAAGCACAATGCTGTATGCGAAGGTTTACATTTCGTTTTTGTGTATTCCAGGTTGGGAGCCGTCTTATTGAATTATTGATGCAAACGGCCTATATACAACCTCCAGTTGATCAGTTGGCAGATGGTCCACCAGATATTCGACCTGCTTTTAGACACTCCCTTAAAACTGTTACTAAAGAAGCACAGTGAGGATTCTGTCCTATCTTGTTGATTTACAAAGCTAGATATGAAATTCGTTGTATATCACCACTAAACATTATTAATAGGACAGTTTTTTTTCCCTTCTTCTCTTTCAACAGGAAAACTAGCAGAAGATATGGGGTTATTGAATGTGATCCCTTAGTTCGCAAAGGGCTAGAGAGAACTGTAAGTTAAACCTAGAACTTTGGTAGAGACTGGTGTTGCTGTCTGAGATTTGGTACTCTGCTACAAATAAATTTACTTTTCTACCGTGTGTGTGTGGGTAGCTGTGTTTGCATGTTTTAATTACATGAGACATCTTCAAATGAAAAACTGTTTTCTTAAAAATTATAATCACTGCTTCAGTCATGAGGGCGTTAAGAATCTTATGCCATAAAAATTGCTCCTTTTTATAACAGGCAAGGCACATGGTGATCCCTTATATGCCAATGTTGGTTCCTCCAGTCAACTGGACAGGGTATGATTTCCAGGTTCTATTAATTTCTGTATTTCTGCATTTCAGTTTTTATTCATTTTCTGACTTGATGTTTAGTTCATCTGACAACCTAAGTTCTGACTGGTGAAACTGGGATTTGTCAAATAAGATGAGCTATTTGATGATTTGATCACAAACATTTTTATCTATTTGGATTGGGAGCTATATATAATTATAAGCTAATAACTGCATACTGGTTGGTTATTCACATGAAGCCTGTGCTTATTTTGTTTTATGGTTTTTCTTTTACATCTTCTGGAAGATATGATAAAGGTGCATACCTGTTCCTACCATCTTATGTCATGCGAACACATGGAGCAAGACAACAGCGAGAAGCAGTTAAGAGGGCTCCCAGGAAGCAATTAGAACCAGTTTTTGAGGTTTGAGAACTTTGGATTTGTTTTTAGTTTTGTATCTTTTTACAACAATGATGCTGTGGATTTTGTTATCACTCTTCTGCTTGTTTTTTGTTGCAATAGTGACTCAATGGTGTTCTAAACTGTTTAGGCCCTTGATACACTCGGCAATACCAAGTGGAGGGTTAATAAAAGGGTTCTCAGTGTTGTAGACCGAATATGGGCCAGTGGCGGTCGTCTTGCAGATTTGGTTGATCGTGAAGATGTGAGTCACATTTTCTTTAGTGGATGAATTTTTAGAACTTTTTCATCCTTGTTTTTGAATAAATATCAGAAGTTCACAATTGTTGTTCAAGCACATATAAACAAACATGAAGAACCTAATATGTTCTTATTCTCTACAGGTTCCTATTCCAGAAGAACCTGATACAGAAGATGAAGCAGAGATCAAGAAATGGAAATGGAAAGTTAAAGCTGCTAAGAAGGAGAACAGTGAGAGGCATTCACAACGATGTGACATAGAACTTAAACTCGCTGTAAGAAGATTTCTTGTCTACCCCATAAATTGGTTATTGTAATAGATGCTCCATTATACAGTTTACCAACTGTCCTTATTTGAGAGCAGGTAGCTAGGAGAATGAAGGATGAGGATGGCTTCTTCTACCCACACAACCTTGACTTCCGAGGTCGTGCATATCCCATGCACCCATATTTAAACCATCTTGGTTCAGACCTGTGCCGGGGAATCTTGGAGTTTGCAGAAGGGCGTCCTCTCGGAAAGTCTGGCTTGCAGTGGCTGAAGATACATTTGGCAAATTTATATGCTGGTGGTGTGGACAAGTTATCCTATGAGGGTCGAATAGCATTTACTGAGAATCACTTGGATGATATATTTGATTCTGCAGACAGACCACTTGAAGGTAGGCGCTGGTGGCTAAATGCAGAAGATCCATTTCAGTGCTTGGCAGCATGCATCAATCTCTCCGAGGCATTAAGAAGCTCTTCACCAGAGACTACCATCTCCCATATGCCTGTTCACCAGGTACTTTCTCTTGGAATAGTCAGAAGTCTGTTCTTTGTAAATTATCTTTGTGGGAATTATCATGTAAGGAGACTGTAATTACATTATTTTTTTATGGGATATTATTAGGAGTTTAGAACCTTCTTCTCTATTCATGGGAAGGGGAGCAATTTTGTTAGGCATTTATGAGAATATTACACCTATACATACATTCTTTGAGAGACAAAATCTCTTATCTCTCCTCTTTTATTTTCATTTCCTTGTTACAGTTGTGCCCAAAACATTCGATTCACCCTACCCCTTGTTTTGCTAAAGCATCAGCCATGCTATTCGCTGACCATTGCACCAATTGAGGCCTCACTTCCATCTTCCTAGTTATCCACTTAAATTTCTTGGATTCATTTTGATAAGTATATGGAGCATTGTCGTCATTCTTCAACCATGCTATTAACGATTTTGAATCTCCATAAATAATCATTTTTTTATTCATTATCCTAGCCTTGTACACCCCATCCAAAAGGCCCTTGATTCCCATACTGTTCCCATCAAAATTCAGTTTAACATAATCTTTTTCTGGTGCTGTCTATACTCCATGTATTTTATCCTTTTTTGAGGTTGACCCTGCTACTTTTTTCCATTTTTTCGTAATGTCTTATGTGGAGAAAGGAGAAAATCTTTCTAGTGTTATTACCTAATGGGCCACTTTTACTATGATGCATTCTATTAGAGCTTCTTTGCTCCTTTCATTCTCTGAAAATTCTTGCATTCCTTTCTTCCCATATGGTCCACATAGTTACAACCCATCATCAGATCATAAATTTCAAAACTAATCATTCTTCTATACATTTATTTGTCCATAGAAAACAAACAAACAAACAAACAAACAAACAAACAAATAAATAAATAAATAGATAAATTTCTTCTGAACATGCAAAGTTAACTGAACATTGGAGAAAAGACATTGAACCTATCTCTTCTTTTTTAGTTCCTTCAGACTCCACTTCTGGTTTTGGTGGAACCTCGGCCTGCGAAGGGAAATTAGGGATATAGACTTGGACAGCCTCTTACCTTTATTAGCCATCCTTGAGAATATCTTCCTTGATCCTAATAGGGGAGACACCAGAATTTGGATCCCTTCTACTTCAGGAACCTTCTCTTGTGCTTCGTTTTTTGAAACCTTAACTCAGTCATCTGTCCCTTCTGGTGTGTCCTTTCCGATTAAGGAATTTTGGAGCAAGCCCATTCCTCCTCAGGTTGGGCTTTTTTGTTGGGAAATTTTCCTGGAAAGAATAAATACAAATGATCTACTTCAGAAAAAGAGACCCAATTCTTGTTTACTTCCTAATAGATGCTCTCTCTGTAAAGATGATGGGGAATCCGGTTACCACCTTTTGGTCTCTTGTAAGGTTACTAAAACTGTTTGGGAGTGGGTACTTTCTCGCTTTGGGTGTACTTGGAACCCTCCTGAGAGTGTCCAAGGTTTGTTCTCCCCTTCGTTTTTTAGATGGCCTAAGAAGCGAGGGAAGATGATGTGGATGAGTATTAGGGCAGCCGTGTGTTGGTCACTATGAGAGGAAAGAAACTCTCGAATATTTTCAGAAAATGAAAGATCCCTGGAAGAACTATTAGACCTAATACTTTTAAGGGCTGCCCACTGGTTAAAAACTATGGAACTGTTCTCAGACTTTCCTATTGCTGACCTGTTAAGAAACTGGAAAGAGATAGTAACCTCTACTCTGTGTAAGAGGACTCTTAGTCCCTTGTGGTCCCCTCCTCCCTTCGGATTTATAAAAGTGAATTTTGATGGCAGTAGCATAAGGAATCCAGGGCCCTCTGGGATTGGGGGAGTTTTCAGGAATGAGGAAGGGATTGTTANAAAATTCTTATGGCTATGTAGAGGCATTGAGATACAATACAGCTGGGTGAAAAGGACTGCTAGTTCTTTTGCAGATGGGTTGGCCAAGCAAGGGGTGAATAGGGAGGCTATTTTTTGGGCTATTTTTTGGGCTATTTTTTAATCTTCTTTCATTGTAATTTTCTGATGGGGAGATAAGACTCTTATCTCCCCCTTTTTTGTACCTAAAGCTTCATAATTCTTAATAAAGTTTCTGTTATTGATAAAAAAAAAATGGAGAAAAGACATCGAAGATGTGCAAGGGAGCTCCTAGGACATGTGGAAAACAGTATTAATGTATAAATTCATCAATTATCTTTTCATTTGTGTCTGTTATGTATCTTATACCACAGTTGTGGTCATCCAACATCCAAACTGATTGTGTCTTTTGTCTCATGCTACCAATCTATTATAATGAATTCTGAAGGATAAAGCAAAAGTCTCCTCCAGGGTATTGGATAATTTTGGGTGCTTTTTTCTGTTTTTAAATTCATACACATAAACTAATGTATAAAAGCAAATTTGTGTTGCAAAACTTTGCAGGAAAAGCCCAAACCAAATTTTCCTGGAATCACCTTTTTAATTGTGTTATAATCTGGTCCCCATGTCCTAGAAATTAATGGGGTTGCAACTTTGGTGGGTCCAACCCAAGCCTGGACCACCCAACCTGAAACTTAACATGGGCTAGGCTTGAACTTTTGGTCCTCCAGTTTTTCCCCCGAGGCTGTGCCTGGGCCTAGCCCTTAGGTAGCCCATGCCTGGCCTGAGTCCAGCTTGAAACCTGCTCTAGCTTACATGCATACATGCATATGTACAAAATTACAATATTCCTATTTAATGCTCTAAACTAGTGATAATAAATAGGTTTATAGCAATTTTTAATACATTGGATGTAATAGACCCACTTTAACTTGATTGACCAACACGTGTCCAGCCCAGGCCTGAGCCCAATCTAAATGGGTTGGGCACATCAGAAATGAAAGACCAGCTGTACCCAGCTTGAGTTATTTTATATTATCTTATGTGACATGGAAATGACAAGAACATGGCATGGACGAGGTGGACTGTCCGACAAGAAATTTATACTAAAAGTTGAAATGTTAGAGACAGACATCACACCAATTTTGACATGTCCATGCAACATGGACGCTATTATAACAACACAATTTTTTTTTTTTTTTGTATAAAAAATAGACAGATTTGTCTTGATCCTCTCATACTGGAAAGCTTGATCCAGTAAGGTTTATGTCTCTATTTTATGCTTTCAGGATGGATCATGTAATGGCTTACAACACTATGCTGCCCTTGGAAGAGACAAGGTAATAATCTTTCTATTTTCATTATTATTTGGTATTAGTTTTTGCTACTAATTTCTGGTTATGATAGTATCCATGTATATATTTGAAGATCTTTTATGCAGATATATGTCATAAGTCATAACTTGTTTTTCATGTTCATCAAATAAAAGGAATGATTACTTGCATCATTCATGAAAACAATGTGGCAAGCATACATACATACATGAAAACAATGTGGCAAGCATCATTCATCAAATACAGTGCCTCATTGGACTGGACCATACTCTGAAGTTGGTCTATCACTTGGCTAAAAATCAAACTGGCAGCATGATTTGGTGAGCACAATCAGATGTTTTCGATATTTTGTGTTCTTCATTTTGTTTTTTATTTGGGATAATTAACTTTTTTTTCTTGAAGAAAACAGAGATATTTTATTTCTAATCTGGTTAAAGAAATATTTTACTCTTTATGTGTGATTGTGTGCCAAGCTTATTTTACTACCAAGCAATATAATCTGCCTTTTCATCAGCTTTCCTTTTTTTTTTATTTTTTTGATTGCTAAATGCAGGGTCAATGGTTATCTTGTTCATTACCTTCATGAGATCACTGTATTGATTGTCTGGTAGATGGAACTAGGAAATGCATTTTGGACTAAATAGTTCACTGCTTCTTGATATTTCTATTTATTTTATTTTTGTGTTTTGTTATTGAAATGAAATTGTTTCATTCATTCAGTTGGGAGCAGCTGCCGTGAACCTGGTTGCCGGAGAGAAACCTGCAGATGTTTACTCAGGAATAGCTGCTAGGTATGCTGATTCCTTAAATACATGAAAGCGTGCTATTTTAAAGCCATTACCCTCCTCCCCCACCCCTGTATAAGTTTTTGTATAGGAAAAATAGTTAAAGAAATAGAGGACATAAGGATGGGGAGTGTGAAAAGAAAATGAAAATTATGATGGTAAACAGCTTATGATATGTGATATTCATTTTATCCCAGGTACCTGTGTTGGACTCAACGTGGCATGGATGTGGATATTGATGTGTTTGACCTGCCAAATCTATGCCCATTTTTCTGTGCCAAGTTTTGATGGATTGGGTGTTTATCCATCTAATTGAACATGCAACCAGCATTCATTAACTGGTTTTTTTTTTATCAATAACACTTTCATTAAATCATCAATAGAAGATTTACAAGAGGAAGGCAAACACACTTATCTTCCAAGAGCAACAATGAACCTCAAGAAAAGGAAAAAACACTAAAGTTACAGCTTAGCCCAAAACAGTGAATCCCTTTCTGCCCCTTGTTTAGCTAAACCGTCAGCTAGGGAATTAGCCGATATTTTAACCCAACATATCTTAACTTCCATCTCCCGCACCAGCCACTTGAATTTCMTCCTCTCATTGTTGTACTTCCATAAGCCATTGTTATCTTTAATCAGCCACCCTATCACCACCTCTAAATCCCCTTCAATTATGAGTTTCCTGATGTTCAACTCCTTAGCTTTCTGGACTCCTTCCATAACTGCAAAGATCTCAGCTCTAAGGGAGTCACCCACTCCAATTAGGCCTGAGAACATGGCAGAAATGATCCCATTCTCATCCCTAAAAACACCCCCAATCCCCTATTGTCCCGGATTTCCCCTACTACACCCATCAAGGTTTAATTTCAAGAATCCACCAGGTGGAGGGGGTTCAAGCCACACTCATTACTGACTTGGTCTGTGTGCAATTTGCAATTTCACCCCACTTCCTCAACATGTCATCCACAGTGTAATCTGTGAATAGCTCCAAAGATTTCAGCCACTGTACAGCCCTAATATGTATGATAGCCCTCAGATCTGCTGCTCCTCTCTCAACTTCTGAGAATATCCTGGAGTTTCTTTCCTCCCAAAGTGTCCAACATACTGCAGTCCTTAGTCCTCTCCACATAGTCCTTCCCCTTTTTATCCGCCACCTGAAAAAAGAAGGGGAAAAAAGGCCCTGCAAGTCTGATGGAGGATTCCAGCTACATCCAAATAGGGAGAAAGCCCATTCATTAACTGGTTTGGTTAAGATAAATGTTGCAGTTAGAAGTTGAAGCTTGAAAATATACAGAATTCAACAAGGAATACCATCTAATGAATGAATAATAGACTGCAACTTCTAACTGCTTTTATTAGACCTTCGAATTGCCTAGCCAGATGTCCAATTGATGCCTAGGTGATGCTTTAAGCACACTGTTTAGGCATAAGAGCTTTAAGAAAAAAAAATGTATACTACAATAGTTCGATGCATACAGTGGAAAATTTTCTTGCTAGGCAGAAGCCACAAGGCCTGTAGTATTTTGAACCTTACAGCCAAGTTTGATAAGTAATTGAATTTCATACTTGCTTCATAAAACTTGTTAAATATTAGTAATAATTATCACATACATTCTATGATTATTGTGAAGTAATATAATTGTATAAACCTTTTATCTCCTGAGAAGTGGTCTAATCTAGAATGTTTATAATCCAGAGTTCTTGATATCATGCGAAGAGATGCAGAGAAGGATCCAGAAACTCATCCAAATGCAATGCATGCTAGGATTTTAATTAATCAGGTTGGTTTGTTATTCTCAGGCCCTTGTTATTTTGAATGGTATTTTGTAATTTAGGATGGGGAGGGTTTGTTAAAATATGAAAATGTTTCAACCAGGTTTTTCTCTTTCTTTTAGTTTATATTAGTATGACTTATGGACAGTGTTTTAACAACACAGTAATTTTAGTGTTTGAGGCACAAGGTGCAAGGTGATGCACACACCTTTTTGAAGCAAGGCACAAGTTTTTGAATATTTTGAAAAAAAATAAAAAGATAAAGGAAAGATAGTAATGCATAAAAAATGTAAGCGTGAATTTTAAAAGAAATTAAATATTTTAAAAAGCCTATTAGCTCAAATTAAAACACATAAACGTAACAGATAAAACATATCTAAAGTGAGATTGTATAATTAAAAGCAAGCATATGTGGATTGTACCAAATTGCTTCAAGCAGTTTGGTTGTGTGATGTTAAACGTCTTGCATTCATGATCCTAGGAAACTGGTCTTCAGCCTCCAGAAAGGCCTCTTGAGGCAAGTCCAAATCCAAACAAGACCATGCAGGGCAGGGGTTTGAGGTGGCTCCTTGATCTAAACTTTTGGCCTCTCTATTTAAAAACTTTTGGCATCAGGAATTGGATATTAGTCATATTGTTGTTGCTTCTTTAAAGGAAATTTTGCCATTTGAGAACCTTAAAGTCAATCAACCATGGCCCATGGAGAAAAGAGAAGAAAAGTAGAAGAGAACTTGAATAAGGTGTGGCAGCTTGTTGTTTATCTGTCCAGCCCTACTGTTAACTTTTATATGTAGTCATAATAAAGGAGGAAAAACAAGTCTGCCCTCATTAGGCAACAATAGCAAAATACAACAAGTATAAGACTAGGCCCACACCCATTCAGCCCAATAAAAAAGAATATAAAATTACAAATATGCAGCACCCTAGCTCACACAGTTTATGGCTTGCAGCAAACCTATTTGCAAGAATTAAAGCTTTAAGAAGTTTTTGTTTTTGTTTGTCTTAAAAGGTAATAGGCAATTACTAGTGTACAAACAGCAATACAAGTTAATTTAGAAGTTGATAAATCATTATAAAGGTGTCAATCCACAAAAAAATAGGAAAAAAAACATTTTAAAAAGGTGGGCACCTGGGCTGGGGCACATGCCTAGACACACCAAGCATGTGCCTTTTGAAAGGGGCTGCACCAAGCAGGGTGCCAGATGGCTAGTCGCTAAGGTCTCTGGCTTGTTGTAGTGGAGACTTGGGATTGAAGCCCTCCTACACCAGGGTTGGGGGGGGTTATGGGTTTGGGGGATGGGCTGCCCCCGTTGTATAGCCCCATAAAAAAGGGAAGAAAAAGAAAGAAGTAAAGAAAGAAAGCAAGAAAGAAAGGGGCTGCACCTGATTTCAGACAAGGTGCATGTCTTAAAATGTTCCTTGCTTGTGTGCATAGATGCACCATAGGGGTGCCTTTTAAAACACAGCTTATGAATTAGATAATTTTAAACATGTCTGGTTGTACTGGTTTTTTCCTGATTTGGTATTTGACTAATAGTTGCTCTTGGCAATTGGACATCTCTAGGTGGATAGGAAATTGGTGAAGCAGACAGTGATGACATCTGTCTATGGTGTCACATATATTGGAGCCCGTGACCAAATCAAGAGGAGGTTGAAGGAACGTAATGTCATTGCAGATGATTCGGAGCTGTTTGGTGCATCTTGTTATGCAGCAAAAGTAAGTGGTAGATAGAACTACAGTACTTTATAAGTTATTTTTGAAAGATGTATGACATCCTTTCATTTATATGTCATAGGAGATGTATAACAATGATATTTTATTTTCTTTTGTTGCTTGAATAGACCACCTTAACTGCATTAGGCGAGATGTTCGAAGCTGCACGTAGTATCATGAGCTGGCTTGGTGATTGTGCAAAGGTATGTGTGTTGTTTATTTTGTGACTCGTACACATGTTATTCATGTAAAATGTTGAAAATGTGCCATCTCATCATCTGAACCTTGTCCCAACTGTATGGGGTTGGCTACATCAATCCTGTTTTGTCATTCCATTCAGTTTAGTACCATATCTATTGTTAAATTATGAGTGCTTAAATCGTTTCTTACTACAGTCCATTTCCCTAGCTCATCTAACCCCTTCAATTTGCAATGGTCCACTTCTTACCTCTAGTGCATGACATGAATTTTGTTGTATTAATTATTTATTTGTGGATTTGGACTATGAGGCAAAATAAGTTCTCATATATTTAAGTTTTTAGAAAACTAAGTTTGATCATACGAGCTATGATGATTTGTGATAATATATGCTTTTCAGAGCATTGGGCAATGGGTATGACTATTATTGAGTTATGAATGCTCATACCTTTCCTAGTACCCATCCAATATCCTTTTTGGAGGTCCAAACAAACACATTCTTGAAAAGTTTCTGGAGAAAATATTCTATGTTCATCTTGAGTGAGTTCTCTTAGAACTCAAGCACAGCTTCAGGCCAGAGGAGTAATCTCTCATCCATCAAATCACAGTATCCTCAACTAATAAGTCTTTTGTAGCCCATACAAAAAAATGGTATGAGACCTTAGAGGGAGAGAAGCTAGGCTAGGTTCTCACCTATTCACCAGTTTCTATGGGCCTCGTGAAGTTTATCCTTACATTTCTCACTTTTTGTCCATCAGAATTTTCATTAATTTGTTCTGTTTTAGAGGCTTTATGCCTGCTAACTATGAAGCTTGAACATCAACCAGATAATTGCTTCAGAAAATCAGCCAGTGCGGTGGACTACTCCTCTTGGGCTTCCTGTTGTGCAACCCTACCGCAAACTAGGAAGGCACCTCGTAAGTGATCGCTGATTATATTTTATATGCATACTTAAACATATGTCCATACTGTGTTCTTTTCTTGTAATAAAACATTATCACTATTTGATGCTATTGGGCCCTATTTTGGTTTAAATTGAGTGCAGATTAAAACTTCCCTTCAGGTTTTGACACTACAACGAGAAACTGACAAGGTAATTACTGCTATCAGCTTCATCTGCCCACTACCCTAAAAGTCCTTGAAGTTACCAGTTTTGTTGTAGTCACATGCATCTTACTCCATGCAAACTTCGCTGCTACTATCTCAAGATGTGTTTTAAAAACAACTTTTAAGAAAATATGTTCCTGGATGCATATTATTGGTGATTTAAAATGCTGTCATCAATAATGCTTTTTTCAACTGCTTGTAGTAATCATATAAGATGATGACTGCAGTTGACACTGGATATGTTCATTAATTGTTGAAACTGAATTACCACTTAACATTTGGTATGTGTGTGTTTCCCTGTAAAACTATTCTCTTACTATTATTTTGACTATTATAGGTCATGGTCAAGCGGCAGAGGACTGCCTTTCCACCCAACTTTGTTCACTCTCTTGATGGTTCCCATATGATGATGACTGCAGTTGCTTGTAGGAAAGCAGGCTTGAACTTTGCAGGTTGATAGTGAATATCCATATTTTTCTTTCTCTTACTATTTTTTATTTAGTTATTACATCTGACCTTCCCTTTACAGGAGTCCATGATTCATATTGGACACACGCATGTGATATTGACGAAATGAACAAAATACTCCGAGAAAAGTTTGTTGAACTCTATGAGAAGCCAATACTAGAGAATGTATGGTCTCTTCATTCTGAGATTGCTTTGTCACAGTTAGAGATTGAAAATCTTTGACTTCCAATTGCTTTTAGTATGAGAAAGGCTACTTTCTCTTCGTGTATATTGTACCTCTTGTACTATCTTTAAATCATTAATATAAATCTTGTTGATAAAAAAAGGCTACTTTCTCTTTGAGGGAATCATGAATATGTACTGGACACAACAAAGCCTGTCCCAAATATATGGGTTCCACTTCAAGATTCCTGTTTTGCCACTCTCTATCAGTGGATGGTGTTAAATCCTTAAGTTGACATTTATCAGAGTTCTAGCAGCTAAAATTATGTAGTACTTGTAATTCTGATTTTATATATCATTAATAAAATTTCACTGTTATTGATCAACAAAAAATTATGTAGTACTGGAATACATGTACTTTGTAATTGTAAATGCTGGAAATGTCGGGAAAGTGTCAACTGAAGACCAATCAAAAAATAACGTCAACTGAAGGATCTGACACCATCTATTGAATGACAATAAAATTTAGCTTTTTACCAAGAGAGGTTGCTTAGCCATCTCTTGGGAGTCCGAACTGTAATTTGGCCTTGCTACATTGTATTAATAAGCTTACATGTTCCTGCTTTCATGCACAGTTGTTGGAGAGCTTTCAACAGTCCTTCCCAACATTAAATTTCCCTCCTTTGCCAGAGCGTGGAGATTTTGATTTACGGGAAGTTCTGGACTCGCCGTATTTCTTCAACTGATCTGCGGCTCAGTGCTTCTCTTATTCATGCTCCTGTATTAGTATTCACTACCTTTTCTATTAAATTGCAAGGAAATGAAAGCTTTTTTTGTATTCTTTTCATTCATGGATTGACAAAGTACAAGGTGAGTCTGGAAGTAGGTTGCATTGCCTACAATACCATCGAGGCATTCAGCTCTATTCATGTGAATATCTCAAATCAAGTTGCCTTCAAACATTAAAGTGACCGACCAGGTTCCACTCTGTAGTTGAACCAGCTTTGACAACACTGGTCTTCGGGGATGATGACAGATTATCATAGAAGAACAACAGAAGACACCGTGTGGGGGAAGGAAGCTTTCCAAAACTGACTTACTAGCAAGATGTTAGAAGTAGTACATGAACTGGTTAGAGAATGAATAAGATGGCAGTGATACGCAGCAGGATTAGCTGAATAAACAGACCCTACAGTTGGTATATGCATGAAGCAAGTTGTCCTTGACAAAGCTCCGATGGGTGTAAAGCAAGAACAAGGTAAAGCTGCGGATATCAGTGATGAATGCCATGTGACAATGCTCTAAGCAGATGATCTAATTGAAACAGACTGAAGAAGGTATTCCAATTTCCAACTTCTAGCGCACTACACTGCAGGATAATCATTGACCTTTAAATGTGTAAAGAGAGCAGATCCCATTGAAGGTTGTTTAGAAACTCCATTGGCCTGATCTGTGTGGTTTGTATGTGTCCGTTGTGGTATTCAATATTTTTCAGTCTCTGTATCAATATCTTGAGACTTGTATATGCGCAGAGCATACCTGTATCTTGCTTTATTCTTTGTTTGAACAATACAAAAGTGAAAATGATATAAGTTGCCATATTGGCGAATTTGAGAAATAATCACGAGTTGCATGACATCCATGTGTATGCACTGAAACATGCAATGTTAGTAAAGAAAGTTGATTCCATTTAACCTAGTTCATTATCTTTTTTTTTTTTCCTTTCAGTGGTAAAATATGGTAAATAAATGATAGCTATGTCCCAAACCATTATTTGACTATTTTTTTCCCTTTTGGCATTCTTTGTGTGTGTGTGTTTTTTTTCCAAATGAATATGCGATTCTGCACTCTGGAATCTGGATACTATCCAGATACTCAGGGATTTCCTACTCGCTTTTCCCAGAGATATGTGGCTGCAATTCACGGCGGGTAGAGAGGTTAGGAAAAGCGATAGAAAATCTGGGCTCCTGCATCTATTAAATGTTCTACAATTCGAAGAAAAATCGTTGGCAAATGTCGTAGATCTACACGAAAGCGTAAAACTAGCGTTATGAGCATCGTCTTCCTAGCTTTTCCAACACATACAAATGATTGAATTTCCAGCATTTGCAACTGTTACAAATGGTCAACTATATTTTACTATGGTTAAAATCAAATGTTTTAAAAATCGACCTGGAACCGGAACTGCTTTGGCCATCAGTTTTCGGGTCAGTGGTTCGACTGACCGATTTGAACAGATGGTCCATTCCAAATTAAAAAATAATAATAATTAAAATAAAAACGGCGAAAACCATTGTATGGGTCGAATGGGTCAACGGTTAGACCGCTCAAGTCAATGGGTCACTGACCAAGTCAACGGTTTGACCAAATAACTGGTTGCCTGGACGGTTCCTGGGCCGAACAGTCCGAAACAGTTCAAAAACACCGATAAAATATTGAATAGAATACAAATACTACCTACCTTGTACTTTAGGAGTAGTGATTTATAAGTCCCCAAACTATCATTTATGAGTTATCTTGTAACTGAACAATCTTGTATTTTAAAGAATTTGTGCCTGCGGCAACTTAGCGTGCCCCACAGCACATCCTATCGTGTATTGGGAGCATCTTTGATCTTCCAATGGCAACTTCAGGAGATGTTTCCAATACACGCTGAGATGTGCATGTGGGGCACAGATTCGAACTCTATTTTTAGATTCCAACACTTTTCTCCCACTATTAACAGTCCAGTTTTGTACCCTTATGAGATTATTCTGCCCTCTTTTTATTGCACCTCCAAAACCCTAGTTTTAAACATTTTCTTTTCATTCCACTTTCAACTTTCTTGTCTCTCTCTTACACCTTGAAAAAAGTTCAAAACTATTCAAATGCTAATGCTGGGAGAAGAGTATTAGAAATTTAGAATCTGAGAGTACAATGTAACTCTTGGGGACCTCAGTATCACTACAACACTATGGTAGTTCTCTCTATATTTTTTTTACCATGAAATATTTGATCTAGCAGGAACAAACTTTCCACTGTAATTGTTGGGCTAACAATATAATTCATTTCCATCGAACATCAAAGGGTACGTTACTCCCAAAATGACGAGCTTGCCATACTTGGAAAATTTGATATAATCTCGAAGTCCGGTGGCCTGCACATTTTTCTTTCGAAATACTTTTGACAGAAAGCTTGGAAATGTAGTTCAATCAAAATCATAAACAGGATACCCCAACTCTTCTATTCTACGACTTTGACGATGAAGACGGCAACCTATTTATAATTTTATATGACAAATGATCCTCTCGAAAACGCCATTGTACCATCGTAACTTTAGGCTCATTTGGGAAGAGTGCAAATACAAATATGCACAGTGAAACACAATTCTAACACTGCTGAGTGCTGACCATAGGCTTTTATGACGCATCCACCTCTGATACTCGTACATACGCATTTGTTTTCATGGACTGCTGCAAATGATTTCGGCTTCTACGCAAAAAAAAAAAAAAAAAAAAAAAAAAAAAAAAAAAAAAAAAAAAAAAAAAAGAAAGAAAGAAAAGAAAAAAAAACTCAATATCTGAAATTGGATTTCAATTTTTGGGGTGAAAATTTATTAATATTTTATATATTATTTTGGAATTTATATTCTTCACTTTATTAGTTTATACAAACAGAAATTTCAGACAAAATATATAATAAAATCCCAAATTTTCAGCTGAAATACATTGAGCTGAAATTTTCAGGATTCCATTTCGGTTTGAAATCTCCCAAAATTTAAAACCATGCACAAATATTAGAAAAGAAAATGAACAAAAAAGTTGTGTACCGTCTCGTGAAAAAAAATGTTATATGTACTCTCTTAGTAACTCTGGCCTTGTTTTTGTTAGCATCTCTCCTGCCACTTAAAAAAAAAAACTCTACTGTTGATGTTTGGAACTTTGGAATGGAGGAAAGAAAAACACAGGAGAGAGCACTTGAAACTTAAACATTTGGGATTCGCTTTCATATAACAGTTGATCTTCACAACATACATGGAACTTTGACCGGTTGTCATGAAAACGTAACATCCCGCTGCAATGGCTCCCCAAGTTATCGGTCAAAAGTCCTGAGGTTATCCTCCTACTTTCAAGAATACATCTGCAGCCTATGTTCGTCACTTCCAAACCCATTGAACCTCGCCAAGGGTACCAGATGTTCAGTGCACGCCAATATAAAATATGACCATGCTGGCGGTTCGATATAGTTAAGATGGATTAAACAAAAATGAAACTATTGGAGTACTTAATCAGTAACCATAACGGTCGTTCAATGAAGTCCGTCCATCACCAGATTGTCCTGCATGTTTTTAAAGAATCAGAGGATTAGTCTCAATTAAAATGGAAATACTGAGAAAAATGGAAGACTACATCTATATAATAACCACTAAATTATGTATGAACGAAACACCCCACCTTCAGGAGGCATCCATGATTCATAATCTGGACTACTGTTAAGAAAGGCAGGTCTCTCAGGACCTAGCACTCTTCTAGGCCTTGCATTATCCTTTCTAGATTCCATTCCACCTTTAGTGTCTTGGCTTTCAGTTCTTTCCTCGCCCTCTAGTGCATAATACCCACGCTTGTGCTTTAACAATAGTGCCACAGCATCTGCAGCTGTGGTTTCAGCTCCCGTTGATGAATACATGGACTGTTTTGCTTCATTAGTTTCTTCGGATTTCTCAACCTGCTTTCGCTTCCTTATTATTAGACCAGGAGCGGCAGATTCTATTCCAGATTCTTTTTCCTGTGTCTCATCCACAGTTCCCAAGGCCTTTTTCCTGTCTTTATAGTCAACAAACTGGTCAAGTTCATTTACACTTACTGGAACTTCATCATGTTTGATCTCTTTTATTTCCATATCTTGTGTAGCCCCAAGCCACTGGGGCTTTGAGACTGTGTATATTGGTGGCTTGCTTTCTGTGGCTTCATTAACATTCTGATCAGCTTCTTGTTGCTTGCTAGCTTGTATGGTAGCATTTTCAGTTCCCTCCTTGATGGTGGATCCATTCCTGGGCTTTGTTGATGTAGAGATTTTCTTTTGTTCAGCAGGAAGTTGTTTTGTGACGCCAGAAGTAGGTCTATCTTGTTGACTACTTTTTGATACCTGTACCCTTTTCCTAGCAGCTTCTCCTGTTGGATCAGCAATTTTCAGCAAGTAGAGGATCCTGTCCAATTCAGACTGGAGAGTGGATAGCTCATCCTGAATTTGCACGGTCCTACCGAGAACTGGTACAGATCAGAAATCAAATGACATGTTCAGTGAAACTATGAGTGATTCCTTGAGTATGTCACCATGCACCAAATTACTTGGTTGTAAAATTGTATAATAGGCAACAACATCACAACGTATCAGTATGAATGACATGTAAGAATTTCACCACCACTTTTCTTGTCCATTTTATTGTAAAACATACAGAATGTAAGAACTATTTCACCAGACTACAGCAAATGTTTTGTGAAGAAGAATGTACAATGATTAACTAACCTAGTTGGGAAGAAAGTCCAGTCATGTAAGCATCAAGTGCATCTCCATCATCATTTCCACCCTCCATCTCTGGTGCAACTTTACTCTTCTCAGTCAAAAGCAACTTTTTCTTCTCTTCCATTTCATTGATGATGGCCTCTTTCTTAGCAAGAAGAGTATCAGCCGTTTCAATTGACTGGTGATCACCAGTTTTTAGGCTTGCAGGCTTTTTCTTCTTTGTCCGGTCATAGAATTCATCATCATCACTGAACATGCAAGCTAAAAATTAGCATGCTCTTATTCCCCAAGTTTGACTGTGGAAATACATATTGATATGTAATTGTGTACATTATTTACAAATTAAAACTACATACAAGAAACTTTCCAACATGGAAACGAGGCCCTCCTAGAAATAATTACACATACAAGCTTAAGAACAAAAGAAATCATTTAGATGGCTACTATCAAACAAAAATTTCCTCATAATTATATAATAGTTTTACTTGAGACCCTCCTAGAAATAACTACACACACAAGCTTAAGAAAAAATAAACATTTAGATGGCTACTGTAAAACATAAATTTATGTATAGTTATTAATAGTTTTTAGGGAAAATAACTGATCAGTCCAGGTCAGAATTTTTTAGCCCCACCGTACAGGGGGGATGAATCCTGACCATGAATTGATGCCAAATTCACGGGCAGGATGTGTTTTATGGGGGCGCTACTAGTAGACTATGGGGGGTTGTCATTCAGAATTCTGCATTGGGTTGCAGTGTACTTAACCCTAGTTTTTAACTTGCAAAAAGATTGATGTGACCTTTCTTCCATAAACAATTATTAATCCAGATGTGAATGTTCATCTGGATTTCAATTTTCCTCAAAGAGGTATTATATAGATTAAAATAAACACGAGTATTCTAGATTAATCACTTAGGAACGCTAAGAGATTATTAAAAAGTAGGAATTTTTTAAGGCAACATTGGTTACCTAAGAACTTCATCTTCTTCCTCTGTAACTCCCTTCTTACCACGAATTACCTTTCCAGCACGTGCTCCTATACTTTCTTGGATACTTTCATTCAGGGTCTCTTCCAAGCTCTCAATTTCTTCCATAATCTGAAAGCAACATGCAGAAGAGTTGGATTAAGCATTTCAAAAAGTGCAATTCTGGGTATCAATTGAAGATGAGGATAATAACACTTTTGCAAGAGACTTGACCTGTGATATTCTTTGCTCATTCCGAGCAATCTGAGTTTGTTGGCCCTGTGTCAACCCACCTTGGGCAATGTCCTTTGCTCGAATGGAATCTATTTCTCTCTTCATATTAGCAACCTTTAGCCAAAAGAGTTGTATTTAGAAAAAAAACTAGCGCAAATCTAGAACACATGGGGGAAGAAAAAAATTAGCATAATCAGCAAGCATGGAGAAGGATGGGAGGGACCTAGTAGTCCCTCAAAAATATACACGAACGAAGTTTGGATATTCTAGCTCTTGAAAGTGGTAAGGGCTACAATACTACAAATCTTGTTCTATTCCACTTGTTATTCATCTCATAAAAGGTTAACAGCCTTGTGATTTAGCTTCAACCATTGGCAGTGTTTTTTGTGTGTATGAATGCATGTGTTTTTGTTGAGTAATTGGATTCCACCAGCACCCAACATATTAAAACTCAACTTTGAAGAATGTAGCCTAGGGCCTTTGGGTATTGGGGATGTTTTTAGAGATGACTAAGGGGGCATATAATAGCTATCCATTCAGGACCATCTGGTCAAGGAGACTCAAACAAGGCAGAACTGGAACTGGAATTACAAGGTCTTAGACTCGGCAAGGAGCAGAACTATAAGAAATGTGGTAGTGGAAAGGGATTCAAAGGTGGCTATTGGCTGGCTTAAAAGTTACAGCCAAGGCATGTGACAACATAGATACACTCTACAAGAAGTGAAAAAGCTGATAAGGGGATTAATAATAGATTGAAACTGACAAGAAGGTCAGAAAACAGTGCGGCTGATGCTTTGGCTTGACAAGGGATTAATAGAAACCACTTGAATTGGGGGAAATGGATGATTAATTCCATGGAGCAGGCAGCTAAGTGACATCTTACTGTCCTCGGGATGTTAAGCATACTTGTTTCATTGTTTTGTACATAATACTTTTTCCATCATCTTAATAGAATTACATTACCGATCAAAAAAAGTGCAATCAGATAAACAACAAAGGTAATAATTTACCAAACTTCATTGCATCACAGAATTCAATCAGCAAAACAGTACTAGAAATGAACAATCACTTGCCTTCTCTGTCCTTTTAATGATTTTATCACGGGTTTTTTCCTGCTTCTCTGTGAGCTGACCTTTGTAGGTTTGCCAAGTTACTTCATCTGCATCTTCCTAGAAATTAGAAATAAACAGAGTAAGTATGGAAAAGAACATGATATTACCAAATCTAATTTATCAGCCAAATAAATAGGAACTTAGAGGTGAAAGAAATAAAGCTAAATAAAAGAAAGAATATCAAGAAACGATGTCGTCAACATAAAAGAGACCATCCAAATGATCAAATGATGAATTTTGATCTTGTCACCAATAAAACAAAGAGGGAAAATATCAAATAATTAAGTGCTAGTGCTATAAACAATATGAAAGTAAACCATTCAAATTCAAAGAATCTTCTTATATGGTCAATACATTTTTTTAGGTTCAGGTTGATCTCCAGGTTTTACCCATACCATTCAAATTTAAAGACTCTTCTTATTTGGTCAATACAGTTTTTTGGTTCAAGTTGATCACCAGGTTTTACCCATATACGTAAATGAGGGCAAGAAGTACCATTGACCCTCCATACTCTTTCCATTTTCTTTCTTCTTTTAAGGCCCCATTCGTTTACCAGTAAATAATCCTGGGAAAGTTGATCAATGGGTATTTTTTTCCCATTGACCAACTTTACAATGTTCTTTTTGCATTAAGCAGTGGACCCCATGGTAAGATTACCTTTACTTACCTGGGTAAAACTTACCCATCTCCCAGGTGGGTAAGTAACTTTTCCACCCGGGGAAAACTTTTATAAAACATAATGGGACAACTTTGCCCATTTTAATACTAGCTTTTTATAGGTAAAAATGTCATTCTGTTACTTACCTGGGAATTAAAAGAACATGGGTAAGTGAATTTACCCAGGTAAACATTTACCTGGGTAAGTGTAGTTACCCAAGTAACCTAACAAAGTTGTAAACGAAAAAGGCCTAAATGTCATTCTGTTACTTCCCTCTCTTATTTTTCTCCTTCATTCTATTTCTTCCGTTATCTTCCTGTTCTTGAGAATCCTAAAATACAACTACACTGTATAGCACCCTCGCTCTCTCTCATTCCCTCCCCCACCCCTGAATTTTATTTTATAATCGCCATTGTCATTGCCCCACCTAAGTGGGATAGGTAGCACTGTAGCACGAATACTAGTCCTCCGTTATCTAAGCCCATATCTTCTACTAAATAATCTTCTAACAACTACTTACAACCTAAACCCAAGTCGTTTCATGCCCATTCCCTTGCCTATAGAAACTTCAACTTGCACCAAATTGTTCCTTATGGATGTATTAACTATCTTCTTCTGTACATGGTCAAACTATAGAAATCCAAACTCCTTATTGTTGATTGGTGCTACCACTAAGCTCCACCCAATTGGAGAGGACCAACTCACACACTGAATCATTCAGAATGTCCATTATGCCATTACAAGTTATAGTAAGTGACTATAAACCACTGAAAATTAAACAGATAACAAGGTTCTCATTAGCAAGTGGTTCTACCACTCTAGTACTAAACCTGAAAGCTCATGGAAATCCAATTTAGAAGCAATGTTTGGACTGAGAAACAGTGGTTGGGACCTGGGTCAGGCTTTACCCTCCTACAGCTATCCAGTGTGTTAAGGAATCGAGAAATATTTCAATTCTTTTTTTTAATCAATAACACATTTTATTAATCAATCATAAATGCTAATTACAAAGGAGATAAACTTTCTTTTTTTTTATCAATAACAATAAACTTTATTAATGATGTTAAGCTTTGTGAAACTTTAATTACAATAGGGGGAGGTAAAATGTCTTAACTCCCCACCAACAGAATACAAGGGAAGAAAGTAAAAAATTAAACCAAAACAAAGATTCTCTATTCACCCCTTGCTTGGCTAACCCATCGGCAAATGTGTTAGCAATTCTCTTCACCCAGCTGTATTTCACCTCAATATCCCTAAGCCATTTGAATTTTTTCCTTTCATTGCTGTACCTCCACAAACCACTGTTGTCTTCCTTTAGCCATCTAATCACCACCTCCAAGGACCAAATATCTGATGTTCAGTTCTCTTGCCCTTTGGGTTCCTTCCAGAACTGCAAGAATTTCAGCCCTAAGAAAGTCACCATCTCCAATTGGGCTTGAAAACATGGCAGTGATAACCCCATTCTCATTCCTGAACACTCCCCCTATCCCAGAAGGCCCTAGATTCCTTAAGCTACTATCATCAAAATTCAGTTTTATGACTCCAGAGGGAGGAGGGGACCAAGAGGGGCTAAGAGTCCTCTTACATAGGGCAGAGGTAGCTATCTCTTTCCAATTTCTCAACAAGTCAGCCACTGAATAATCTGAGAACAGCTCTATAGATTTCAGCCAATGGGCTTCCCTTAAGTGTATCAGTTCTAATAAGTTTTCCATGGTTCTTTCCTTGTCTAAAAAAAATTGTGAGTTTCTTTCTTCCCACAAGGACCAACACACTGCTGCCCTAATGCTTCTCCGCATAATCTTCCCTCTTTTCTTAGGCCATCTGAAGAATGAAGGAGAGAACAAACTTTGCACACTCAAAGGGGGATTCCAAATACACCCAAAAAGGGAGAAAGCCCCATACAGTTTTAGCAACCAGACAAGTAACCATAAGGTGGTAACCAATTTCCCCATCAACTTTAGCAACCAGCTCGCGAGCCTCACGAGCCGAGCTTCACTAGGCTCGAGCTCAGCTCGATTAGCAAATGAGCCTATATATCAGGCTCGAGCTCAGCTCGGCTCGGTTTAGCTCGTGAGAAGCTCGGCTCATGGCCACCCCTGACACTTTAATGGGCAGATCATGGGGATCTTCCTGTCTTGTTTTGAGAAAGAGCTCTCCTTTTTTTCTAATAATATAGATAAAACTCAATAAAAGAAAATATACAAATGAGGGTAATAAGAAATCACCTGAAAGGAAAACAACCAAAACGAAAATCACCAAAAAACTCCCCTCACAGCCAACCTAATTCCTCAATTTCCTTTAACCCAACAAAAAAAAAACACATCACCAAAACCAGATTATTTGAAATTAATCCTCTTCCATGGCACCATCATACTCGATAATAATAATAATAATAATAATAATAATAATAATAATAATAATAATAATAATAATAATAAAGCAGCTGCACTGTTCTTTTTCTCCAACTCGCAAAAAGCTCTTTTTACAAAATCCTCCCTTCCCAAGAAAAAAAGGCCTAAATACTTACTTGAATTTCGCTCAATTACCTTCTCCAATTCAATTTTCTTCTCAACCTATCTGACTTGATTAAATATCACTTCAACCTCTTCCTTTTGATTCTCAGTATCTTCCTCATTGTCTTCAACTATGTTCCTCCTCTTGCACTACACCTCCTTTTGTGGATGTACAGGTTCTCACTGTCCGGGGAGTTATTTGAGTGCGTATGTCTGTGTGTGTGTGTGTGTGAGAGAGAGAGAGAGAGAGACCCAGCACTAACAATAAGTAGTTTGTCCTACACTAATATGCTAACAACCAATAGCATGTAAACACCATTGATGACATCACTATGAACCTCATAGTCGATTGAACTGCTTACCATTAGCATTGGGATCTCAAGTTCAGTTTAGTTTTACAAATATTGGTTCCATGTGATAAACTTATTCAAATTTCTATCCTCCTTTTCCCATCCATATCAGCATCCTCTTCACTATACCCATATCATATTAATGACATCTTGTTTCTTGATCAACACTTGCTTTGAAAAGCATGTTGCCTATTAGTTTTCTCAAGAGTCTATGAGTAGAAATAAGAGCCTTATTGCAATTATGAGTTATGGCTGTCACAGATAGTTGTCATGGGGTGTAAGAGAGTGGAGATAGAAAGGGATTTACAAATTACAAGATAAGCATTGGACAGTTCAGGAATGGGAATGAAGGACCATTGCTCTTCAGGCATCAGGTTAAAAAAGGCAAGAATCATTATATCTCAAGTAAACACATTTGTTCAGATAGGTACGATGAGAAGTAAATTCCCTACCAGACAGCCTAGCTAAAGATAGGATGGGCAATGTGCAAAGCTGATTTGCTCTGGGATCTTTCCTTACCAGAATAACATAGTAGCTGATCTGTTTTCTCCTGATATATATCTTTGATGCATTTTGAGTTTCTGCTTTATCTGAAAGGTCTTCAGCTCTGGTTATACTTTTGGAAACCATAGTTCATATAATTCTTCGCTTTTATTTTATTTACTTATCATGAACAATATGTTAGGGAAAAAAAGAATTAATTCATAGAAGGAAAGATGCTACTGCCATTAGAGAAAAAGAAGGAACTTTCAATTAGAAGTTATGTATTCTGATTTCTAGAAGGATAATGGTACTGAAACCGTGGCAGCCAAAGAGGCATACACATCTTTCTAACACTAATTGCAAAACTACCAACATGCAAAGTTAGAAGTGCAGACATAAACATTGCTTTGCACAATGTGTCACTGCAAAGAAGCTTTCTCTTTTCTTTTTCTTTATAATACTAATAATTAGTAAATCCATCAAATGAAGCATATAATCATACAAACCTCATCTTCTTCAACTGCATCCTCTGCCATACCCCATGATATACCTTCTGCCAGAGTTGCCTGCTGTCTTGCTCGTAAAAGTGAAGCTTCACGATCTTGCATCTCCTCTCGAATCTTTGCATATCTAATATTTGCCAGGTCATTTTCCTATACCAAATAGTCTATTAGTAGTTGATTCTAGCACCAGAAAAATCAGCTTAATCAATTAGAACTTTTAGGTTTTAAAAAAATGATCACAAGACTAAATAGGAAAATCGGAATTTTAAAAGAGAATTATCCATCCCTGCTGTCCCCCCCCCAACAGGTATGTACCTGTTACCTGTTCATATAAAAGAATGAGTGGATTGGTTGATTTTCTAAGAAAGATTATTAAGACAAAAAAATCTGCCTCAGAATTGACCCACAAACAAAGCATTAGACGCTCCCTAACCCTCAAATCCACTTCACTCCCTCAAATTAAATGTCACATAATGGGACTGAAATGCTCTTATCCATGGAAGAGAAAACCAATTCTATAAAAAAGATAATTGAAACCCCCTTTTCTATTTTAGCAGATTATCAAATAAACCACCACAACCATAACAAAACATCCATGCAACTTAGCTAACAAGATACTTTCTCATAGTCAAAACTCAAAATAAGCAGCTAACTGGACATACACCACAACCTGAAAAATTAATTATTTTTTTAGGAAATAAAATTAAAGAAATTACTATCATTTTTCTTTGTAAATTACACTAACTGAAATCTAAGTTGGAGAACAGAGCAAAGGCAAATACCATGTAAGCCATTGATCAAACAAAAAAAAAAACATGCAAGCGATGTATCTGCTTTAAAATCATGTAAGAGCAAATAGCATAACTAATGGTGTATGCAAAACTAATAGCCTAGTAAATTCATCAAACAAGACAAGCAAATAGTTTTGTTAGGCAAAGGGTACAGGCCCTCATCTGAGGGAAGATGTGGGCCAGTATCAAATGGTTACTTGGTTCCTTTCTGATCCCAGATTATAATACTTATTTACTTATTTGGAGCAGGAAATGCTATGTCAATGGTGGTGAGGGATGTGGCAGACATTTGGAAAAAAACATGGATAGAATGAAAAAGCACAGCTGCAGTTTTTTTTTTTTATCAATAAAGCATAGCGTAGCTGCAGTTTGCAGACCAAAAATTGAATAATGAAAATAATTTCCATGTATGCAGAGATTAATGTAGAAGCAAGTATATAACAGAAATAAAATATCTGATCAGCAAATCCATCAAATTCTTAATTTCAATAGATCACAAACCAGTCTTACCGGAGGCATCAATTCAGATGGTCCTTGGAATATATACAACCTAGATGAGCTGTTAGGAATCAAATAAAACAGATGATTAATAGGAATTAGGATGAATGAAATAGTTTTACAGTATTTTCAAGCATCTGTAGCTGATTCTGACCTTTTCATTTAATTTTCCTTAAAAGAATTGAGCTAAGATATTCATGACATCAACAATATGACCATACTAACAAATCTTGAAAGTTCAAATAGAGCAGATTCTGCAAATGTTAGTTTTATCAATAAATGGAAGTCGTAATCTATTTTAATTTTAATCTGCATCATAGATTTCAGATACGACCGAGATTCCTTTTAATCAAAGAATGAAACCATGTTCCCCAAGGTACATGACAAGAAAGATGACTTCTTCTTCCAGCACTACAGAAACTAGGTGAGTTTATTTCATACCCACAAAAAAAATAAAAAATCAAGTATAAACCAGAAATAGGCACACAAAATATGAGAGTTCAGAGTTAATAATTATCCAATGTATCATGTTTATGTTGATATAAGTCAACCAATTATAACATGTTGAGCATGTTGTAAAACACCTGCCTAGAATCTTTAGCCTCCAGGGCACCTGCCTTGTCACCTAGGTGTTTGCCTAATGGGCTGAGCAAGTACCTTTTATAAAACACTTGAGGTGATGCAATTAGGAAACCACCTTGTCTTGTCACCTTGATAACCATTCTTTTGGGTGGGTCCTTTACTATGTTTTTGTTGACAGGACTAGCGTAAGTCATGGTATATGGTAGTCTTCGGGGTGTTTGAGAGCCTGAAATTTGTGGGGAGGGGTTAGATATGGCCTATGTAGAGGGTTTAGTAATTGTTTTCAATTTTGTCTTTTGGAATGGTGGGGTGTCGTCTTTGGGGTGCTTGGGCTGCAAAGCCTGTATCCTCCTTGTAATACTTACTGCTCTTTTTTCTTTAATGAATTTTCTTTTACTATCAAAAGAAAAAAATGTTCCTAAATCCCTCAGGAGAAGAGCAGGAGATTGGTGAAGAATGCCCTACCATAAGGACATAGAAAACACCACAAGTTGCAGTGGACCATAATGGTCTGTACTGAAGCATGTTAAATTATTAGTTTTCTAGCATATTGCCTCCCAACTAAATGCCCTAATTTTTTATGGGGTCAAACTGAACCTGACTGCTTTAGTCGGAAGTGCACTCCAGGGAAGACCTCAAGGAAAAGAACCGAAAAAAAAAACACATTAAAGCCCATATTCTCTCATCATAACTAGGAAAATTCAAGGAACTTCTACCAGCCATTATTGCTCAAGATAGTCCTTTTTTTTCTCTCCAAAGAGGAGCATACCTGCATATAAAGATAGTAGTTCACTCTACATTTCCTAGTTGATAAAAGGTTCAATGTTTTGTTCGGAAACTCTATTTCCATTCCTTTAGAACTAATGACTTTTCTCCTACAGCAATAGAACTAAAGCATTCCCTCCCCTTAGGTTAGTAAGATCAAACGCACCCACTTGGGTTTGGGTACTGGGACTACTAATATCCTTCCTTTTTCTTGAATGATAGAAAAAATAATATTATTAAAAATCGAAGGGGAGATACAGACTAGGGTAAGCCCAGTAGCATAGAATGGCAATCTTGCAGTAGTAAAAGAAAAAAAAAAGTTTCCCCACAAGGATACATCTTACACGAAGGATATTTTATTAATCAGCACGAAGGATACATCTTACAAAAATCCCCACAAAGAGATGTGAGATGCCACTTCTAATCTATTACACAAAGCTTACAAATGAGCCCAGAAAAACTGATTCCTATGTACCCCTTGTTTGGCTAAAGAATCTGCCAACCCATTTGCCCATCTTCTTTCCCATTGAATTGTGGCCAACATATTTGATGTTAACCATCTGCGCCTTCTCAAAGCCCCTCTATAGGACCATGCTGCCATTTCCAGCTCTTTTAACCACCCAACAACCAGTTTAGAGTCGCCTTCAATAAATAAGTGTTCCATTGCCAGCTCCTTAGCAATCTCTGCTCCTTTTAGAACTGCTTGAACTTCTGCATTGACTGAATCTCCCACACCTATAGGACCAGAATATAAAGCTAAGATCTGGCTCTCGGCATTTCTAAACACTCTCCCAATTCCAGACAGCCCTGGATTACCTAGGCTGCTGCCATCAAAATTTAATTTAATAACACCTTCAGGAGGTTTACACTCCACCATAGGCTTGACTCTAACAGCAGAGCTTTTGGCAATTTGCTCCCAATTCCTCCACATGTCATCAAAGGTCCAATGTCTTTGCCCAACTTATGGCCCTATTTAAAATGCTTTCCCATAGACCATTCCCATCCCTCTCATTGTCATTAAAAATTCTGACATTCCTTTCCTCCCAAACAGTCCACACAAAAGCAGCTCTTGCACACCTCCACAAGACTCTACTCTACCTCTTTTCTTTGGCCACCTGAAAGTTGTTGGTTCAAAAAGATTACAGATCTGCCTTGGTTTTGTCCACCTGCACCCAAAGAGATCCACAGGCCTACAACAAGAGGGCAAGAGATTAGTAGATGGAAACAACTTTCCTCATTTGCTTTGCAAAGGATACACCAGTTAGGGGAGATACAAAGACCGGGTCTTCTTTTTTGCAAGACATCCAAAGTATTTATTTTCCCAAGAGGCACTTCCCAACAGAGGGCTCCCACTTTTGGAGGGACAGGCTTGGACCAAACCTCCTTGCTATGAAACGGCTGAGGATTAGGAGTTGAACACGGAGACAAGAAAAAGGAGGCACAAGAAAAGGAACCCCAGGAGTTAGGCACCCAAATGCAACTATCAAGAGAGGAGGGATCCAAACAAACAGGTTCAAGAATTCTAAGGAGCAAGGCAACCTGGTCAAGCTCAAAATCTCTGAAATTTCTTCTAAAGCCCAAGTTCCAGTTAAGACCGGAGGAAGAAGAGAATGATGCAAACTTCTGTATTGGCGCATTTTTAAAACACGAGAAGGCATACAAAGAGGGGAAAAGGTCCTTGAGGGTAGAGTTACCAACCCAAATGTCCTCCCAAAACAAAACCTTATCTCCAGTACAAGCATCATACCTGATCAATCTCAAGAAGAGAGGAAGAATATAATAAATATCCTTCAAAGGAGAGTTCAGCATAGCCCACCAAGATACACCAGCATCCCAACCATTACCTGCCGCCCCATGAACACTTCTCACAACCTTGTGCCAAAGTCTTTCCCTCTCCAAAGGCCACCCCCACAACCATTTACCCAACAGAGTTGTGTTCTTCTTCCTTAAATTGCCTAAACCCAAACCCTACCCATAGCAATCTCAACCTGAACCTGACCTGACTGAATTGAGAGAGGATACACCAAACCTACCCCACCTCGCCCCATAGTACACCTATACTCAATTGACACTATATAAACTAATATTTCAAAGTTGCAATGTCAACAGGTTGGGTTCAGCAAGGGTTTACCCCAACCCAAACCTGACCAGAAACTCAAATAAGACTAACCTGACCCTAACACGATAGGATCGGTTCAGTGCGGGTTTACCACCTAACCTGACCCACTGACATTTCTACCTCTAGGGTAACACACATGCATGATCAAGGATTGAATCAAATATACCACCCAAACCCAATTCCCAATAGCTCTCCAAAACAGCTTAAAAATTAAAATCAATCCACTCACCCCACAACATACTCAAGATTGCTCAGTGTCAGGCACCTTGTTAGAAAAATTAATTTTTTACTTCCCTTTCCCTCAATCCTTTACCTTAACCCCTTATCATCCCTGCCTCTTCCTCTTTCAGAAATTGGGGCTTTCTTGTTTGATAACTCAACTAACTTCTGTCCAGCATATTTGATAGAAGGAAATGAGCTAGACTGAACTTTCACTCTGACATTTAACTTTGAGAATGCTAATATTCCATAAAGGGTCACCTGGTCAGATTCCTCTCTCTTCAAAATGGTAGAAGTATCACAGTAGCCAATCGTAGCCTCCAATAAAAACACCCCCAATTTCTTGCTTAACTCTGTCATTCTATTTAGCAGAGATTATAGAATAGGATCATGCTGGACCTTTCTAGATCCATCAAGCTTGTCCTTGATTCATTAATGGTTCCTCTTCCTCCAAAGCTGATGATCCATAACTTAAGATCTTCCCTCTCCCTCAGAGATGACTTCTTCATCACCACTTCTATTAATCATCATACCCTGTCTTGTATCCTTCCATTACCCAAACCTACAGGGTTGACCTCCTCTGCATCACCCCCCAGACTGTGTTCAAGTTGGAAATCTACTAGAGTCAGGGTCCAAAATTTGAAAGCTCCCCTCATTTTCCTCCTGGCAGCAATAAATCCTCCATTGGGAATCCTCATCAGAAGCTTGCCCAACCCGAAATCTGAAAGTCCCCTTGCCAACCCTTTTCCACTTTTCAGTTTGTGAAAATCTCCACTGGAGGCTGAATTCTACTAGAGTTGTGCTAATGAATTTACTTTCTCTGTCATTTTGAGAATCACATCAATGCCTGATTTGCTCAATCTTCATTAATAAAAATCTTCCTTTGTTTACCAACAGAAAGATTAAGATTCCAATTTCTGATTCAACAAGATAGTCATCACAGAATGCCAATCCACTTAGATTTGCTAAATTGTTCAATTTTAAAGCACTGCAGTGATAATTATGGATTGAGAATCAACCCCATTTGGCTACAATGCACAAATCAAATAATAATATGAACTACCAAAAAAAAATCTTTTTCATTCTCAACCAGTACAAAGAAAATAAAAACAAGAAAATAGGAGATGAGAAATAAAAGAGATGAAGGGTGTTTCATGATGCAATATTATAAGCAGAGAAGTATAAGGAATTTACTTACTGGCCAAATCGTATCACATCACCAACATGCAACCCCATGTATTCCTTTTTCTTCACCTAAATCAGAATGAGTAATCCATATAAAAGTTACTTAAAGCACCCATCATTGAAATGATCCATTACCCCAGCAATAATTACAAGAGGATGTGAAAATGATTTAATATCATGTGAACCTAGGAATAGCTCCAATAAGTGATAAAATGAAGGAAAGTACACTAAGATGGTTTGGTCACATCCAGTAAAGACCATCTACAGCACCAGTAAGAAGTGATCTTTAACAGGTTGAAGGGTATAGAAGAGCCAGGGACAGGCCAAAAAAGATATGGATTGAAGTAGTTAGTAATTATTTAAGGGTCCATAACTTCACAATGGATAATGGAAGACCAGGATTCATGTGGATGACCCCAAATAGTTGGCACGAGGCTTAGTTGAGTTGAGGGGACATTGCTTGGTGCAATGGTAACATCTCAGGCTAACAAGCATGATAATGTGGGTTTGAATATGAAAGTGGTCACTTAATGCAAAAAAAAAAAAAAAAAAGAAAGCTCAAAATTAGGTCCTTATCATGGTTTAAAATACTTCAATACTTCAAAGGCCTAGTTAGCACTTTACTAGACCATAGAAAAACCATTTCCCTAATAATGTCGTTTATCAACCAAGAGGTTTCATATTTCAAAGCAGCATCTTCAGAGAATACCTAACCTTTGATAAATTATTAGTGATAAACTAGCTAAAAATTTTACAAGGCATGGAGCAAAAGAAAAAAAAAAGTTGCAAGCTACTACCTGCTGCTTGTTGACAAAAGTGCCATGTGTACTGCCAATATCATAAAGGTATGCATCTCCATCTTTATTGAACTGAAGAACTGACAAACACCAAAGACAAGATGTCAGATGACAACACTTCATGAAAACATTTATTAGGATGCTACAGAAAACTAGCAAGTTCCTCATGTATCATCCACTAAAGTGAAGCCCCAAAATTGTTATCAAATGCCTCAACCAGTCACTCTAGCAACTTGAATACTTATTTTAGAGCCTCAAACATCTTATAGAATATTCCCTGTGGTAGAAAAAAAACTCAAAAGATTAGCTTTCATATAGAGATGGATATTGTTAATTCTCTATCTTACCAGGAAAGCAGGAAACCAAGGTTTTTTTATCAATCAGGAAAACTTCTTATATGGATAGGAAACCAAATTATCAAAAGACATAATTTTTAGCGAATAGAACATAGGTTTTCTTCTCCTTGGTAGGGAAGGGTCAAAATACTTCAATATTTTTTCACCTCACTAGGCTTTCAAAAGATGCACATACCCTTCAAACCTTGTCTGTATTCTTTTCCTGTTTGCTTCATGCATTACTTGGATGATCCTCGATTCCTATGTCATAACATCCACAAATTGCTTCCTATGATATAAGTAGAAATCTGCTGAATTAAAAAAATATGAAAGAAAGTAGTTTCTTGAAGAGAGAAGGAAGAGAGAAGGAGAAGGAGAAGAAGATAAGAAGAGAAGTTGAAAGAAAAGAGAGCAATTAATCTGGTCGCCCCCTTCACTTATTATTTATACTAAAATAATAGTACAGTACAAAGACAACTATGCCCTTATAGGGTGGCAAAACATAAAACAGCATATATAACACTCAAAAAACATAATACAATTTGGACTCACATAACTACTATGGTCCCCACCTCCTATCTAACAACTAACATAAACATCTACTCAGAAAAACATCATAAAACTAATTAATCTTCAACACTCCCCCTCAAATTGGGAGTAAATGTCA